TCTCCACATGATTTTCCAGCGGCTCGCCTCTCGGAGTCGGGCCCTCCGTCGCATGAGATGAGTTCTGCGCCAGCAGAGGTAGCGGGGGGAGGTCGCGACGACGCGCTGCACGCGGATCTGAATGCGCTGATCCAGAGCGACCGAGGCAGGCCCCCAGGAGCCCATGGCCCTGGCGGCGCGCTGCGACCAGTGCGAGGATGCACATGAGCTCGCCGCTGCTCCGACTTCCCCGCTCGATGGGCCGCCGCCGCGCGGCTGTCAGCTACGTCCACCGCCCCGCGCAGGAAGGGCGCACCTTCCCACGCTTCCTGGCGAGATTGCCGCTAGGAGGGGGGCCCCCTCACACGCGCGCGGTCGCCTTCAACGCCAGGATCAGGGCCCCCTGCATCCCCGGGGGCGGCTGTCGCGGATCGCCAGGTGGACCCGCGCCGCGCGCGCCTTCTTCGCCGCGCCCTTCTGCCTCGCTAGCTCGGCCTTGACAGCCCTGAACGCGGTCGCCTGCTGCGCCGGCGCTTCGTCGCCGCCTGCCAGCACCACCTGTCGGACAGGCGAGCTGTTGGTCGGCGCCGCCGGCGGGCGGCTGGCCGCGGAACTGCGGCCGACGCCATTCGCCCCCCAGCTTCCGGCCCGTCGCCCAGCGCCCACTCCGGCTGCCCCCGCCCGGCGCGCAGGGCTCGGCCCCGCCGCGCGCCCCGCCGGCGCCGCGCACTCCGAGGGGCGCGGGGTGCCCCGACACTTGCGCGCGCGGTCGGGCCCCGCTCGACTGGCCCGCAGGAGGCGCCGCCCCCCCAGACGACAGCTCCTGGCCGAGGCCCATAGCCCAGATGTTCTCGGTAATCAACTTCTCTCGCAGCTCCCTCGCGAAGCAGCTCGGCGTTGGCAACCCGTCAAGCAGGGGCCTGCTCCGCCCTCGAGGCAACGCTGGTGCCGGCGTCGATCGGGATGAGGGTCATCCACTGAGCCACACGCCAGTTGTTGGCCTTTATCACAAGTGTCCTGGCCTTGAACTCCTGCATCACCACGTCCAGAGCCTCCACCGTCGACCCACTCAGCCCAAGGTCTAGCACGGCGGCGAGGGCCCTGCGGAGGCGCGCCCCCGTCGGCGCCGAGGCTCGTCGGCGAGTGCTCGACGAAGAAGACGGTGTCCAGGAAAGCCCCGCAGCAGGCCGGCAACTCGCACTGCGGCGCTTCCGCGGCGAACTGCGCCCTCAGCATCTCGAGCCCCGACTTCTGGTACCGGACTTTCTGGCAGCGGGCCCGATGAAGTGGTCGCGCCCCACCATGGCCTCGCGGGGAGTCCACGCCTGGCTCGCATTTCGAGTCGCCTCCCTCGCCCCCTGAGCCGTCGTTGTTGTGGCTGTCGCCACCGCGTCGAATCAACCTGTCGACGAGCTGCTTTCGAAAGGAGCCGCCCCGCTCGCAAACGGGCCTGGCCCCTCCGACGTTCTCGACGGCCCCCAGAGCCAGCGCTGCCTGGGCCCCCTGACGTAGCGCGCCCTGCGAGGGCGTCTCGCCGCGCTTGACAGGCCCCCCGCCAGCGCGGTCCTGCAGTAGCTCGGCGGCCCGCCCAGCGTCGCCGGCGCCAGCCTCCAGCCCCCGCAATGCCGAGTCGATAGGAACCCTCTCGTGCAGACCGCCTGCTCGACGGCGGCTCCTCGACCTCGGCGCGGGCGCATCCCGGCGCGGCTCGGGCGGCCGCCCGCCTCGCCGGGGGGCCGCGCGCTCGGCGCCGGCGCCCGCCGCATGCGACAGCGCCCCGCCCCCGCCGGCTGCCCGACCCTCGGGCCCTGCCGCCGCGAGCGGGGGGGGCAGCGCCTCGCCGCGCGGCTCGCCCCGCGCCAGCTCGTCCAAGGCGCCGCCCGCGCCCAGCCCGTGCTCGTCGAAATCGTCGTCCACCTCGGCGTCGTCGCTCGGCCCACGGCGGTCGGGAGGCACAGCCGCAGCCCTCGCCACGGCGCGGCCCCCCGCCGGCCGCTGGCGGGGCAGCAGCAGCTGGCTCGGCAAGCTCGTCGCCTCCTTCGCCGGGGGCCCGGCCACGGAGAGCCGCCTCGCCGTCCTCGACGCCCCACCTGTCGGCCGCCGTCACCACGCGGACCAGGTTGACGCGCTCCACGAGCCAGCCATCCAGGCGCGGCGAGGCGCACGCCGAAGCGGCGACAACGCACAGGCGCAGGGCGCACAGCGACCTGAACCGTCTGCGGGCCACGGGCGCCGCGCCCGCCCATGGCCCGCACGCGCCACTCGAAGTGCGCGTAAGAAGCCCCGACGTGCTCGAACTCGATCATGATTCCTCCGCCCTCGTGCTTCCTTCCACGTCCGCAGCGCTCGCACGAGCTCCGACCCCCGGGAAGCCCGTTGCTCGTCCTCGAGCATTCCGACCTGCAGCGGCATTCCAGGCACCAGGGTCTAGCGCGCCAGGGTCGAGCTCCGAGTTGATCCAAAGCGGGCCGCCGGCGCCTGGGCCCCCCGCTGCAACCTCCACAGAGCACCGTTCATGCCGACGCCGTGCGGCCGAGCATTTCCCAGCGGCGCCTCGGGCACCGCGGAGGTCGCCGCCCGGTGGGGAGCTCGAAGTCAAGAGCGGAGGGCGCGGCTCCAAAGAGGGGCTCCCCCCGCGGCCCCACGGACCAGCAGCCACCTCCTGACCTCCACCCCGGTGGCCCTCAGCGCGGGTCAGCTAATCCAAAAGGACTGCGGAGGACCCTACGCGTCGGCTGCGCTACGGTCCCCTGAGGGCCTCGGGGAACATGGCCTGCTCGAAAAGATGCCATGTGTGTATACGTGTATTGTTCTGCCCTACTACAGAGAACGACCCTACTCACCCATCCGCCCTGCAATAAAGCTGAAACGTTTACGGCTTCCCCTTATTAAGCCGCCGTTTGCGCCGAGGATGCTAAATATAGTAGTCTTAGCAGTCACGATGCTGAACATGATAATGAAGATGATGAGGACGGTGGGAATGATGAGGGGAGGGTGATGGCGACGATAACGGCGATGATGGTGGTGCTGGTGATGGTGATGGTGACGGCGATGGTGGTGATGGTGATGGTGACGGTGGTGATGATGGTGATGATGATGATGGTGATTGTGATAGCGATGATGATAATGGTGGTGATTATGATGATGATGGTGATGGTGATAGTGGTGATGACAAGGACGATGATGTTGATGAGTACGATGATGATGATGATGGTGATGACGCTGATGTTGATGCAAATGCTGGTTCGTATGATGGCAATGTTGATGGTGACGGCAATAATGGTGGTGATGATGATGACATTGCTGATGATGGTGATGGTGTTGATGCAGGTGATGCTACCGATGACGATGGTAATATCAGTGGTGATGACGAGGATGATGATAGCGGTGGTGTTGATGATGATGCTGTCGATGATGATGATAATGATGATGGTGCTACAGATGGCGGATGTGACGTGATGGCAATGGCGATAGTGAGGATAGTGTTTGTGATGCCGATGTTGATGATGATGGGTGAAGGTGTTGATGGTGATAATGTTGATAATGCTGATGATGATGCGGGTTTCGATGTTGATTTGGACGATAATGATGATGATGATGATGATGATGATGATGATGATGATGATGAAGGTGATGTTAATGATGCTACTAGTGATTATGATGATGATGATGAAGATGATGATGATGGTAATGATGGCGGTGATGATGGTAGTGGTGGATTCGGTGATGATGATGTTGGTGACGATGATGCTGCTACTGATGATGGCGATGATGGCGGTGGCCATGACGATGAGGTGCGCGCGCAGGAAATCTGACACGTTCCACGAACGATGCTCGCACTTGGGCATTCTTACTTCGATGACCTAAAAACTGACTGGGCTTGCCGATGCTGCGCGTGGAGCCTGGGTGGCGCCCGTTCGTGGGCGCCTCGTGGGTGCCCCTGGTACTGGGTGGGTTAGCTCCCGCTCCCTCCCCTCCTCGTTTTCATTGGCGAGGCACCATTCGAGGCCGCTCCGCCTGGTGCCAGGTTGGTGCCAGCGTGTGGGCGCACAGTGGGCGCCCACTGCGCTAGGGTGGGTTTGCCAAGGTCTTGCCCGCTGCCTGGAAGGGTGCCCGGTCGTGGGCTCCTCGTGGGCGCCCCGTGTACTGGGAGGGTTTGCGCAGGCTTCGCCCAGCGCCAGGCGGGTGCCAGGTCGTGGGCGGTTAGTGGGCACCCCGCGCGCTGGGTGGGTCTGCCGAGGTTTCGCCTGATGCCAGGTGGGTGCCCGGGCGTGGGCGTCTCGTGCGCGCAGCATGCGCTGGGTGAGTTTGCAGAGATTTCGCCCGATGCCAGTTTGGTGCCGGGTTTTTGGCGAGCACCTCGTAGGCGCCCCTTGCGCTGGGTGGGTTCGCCGAGTAGGAGTGGGACGTGCATGATCCCCATGTTATCTGCAGAAACGAGAGAGAAGACGACTGCATGCTCGGGAATACGACTGCAGCTGGTGGCTGCTGCGTTTCTCTTGTCCCTGTCGCTTTCCCTTCCCTCCCCTGATTCTCTAGAACATGCAGCGGACACACTTATGCCTACAGAGTCGAGTCGAGCAGAGTCGAGGAGGGAGGGAGAGGGGTGAGAGGGAGCAGAGGGAGGGGGCGGGAGAAGAAGGGCGAGGAGGGGCGGGGGCCCCTGGCAGCGTTCGACTGCAGCTCCCGCCTCCCCCTCCTCCGTCCAAAGGCGGCCCGTGAAGCCGCTGAGGTCATAGACATAGAGCCTTGGACTTCAGCAGCAGTGGATCCGGCTGTTCTCGCCACCCCCTCCTCCTCGCCCGCCCCTGTCAGCGCACGCGCCCGGACCAACGCCCACCGCCGGCCCGCGGTGCGAGGGGGAGGGGGAGGAGGAGGAGGAGGGGGAGGAGGAGGAGGAGGGGCAGGAGGAGGAGGAGGAGGAGGAGGAGGAGGAGGAGGGGGAGGAGGAGGAGGAGGAGGAGGAGGAGGAGGAGGAGGAGGAGGAGGAGGAGGAGGAGGAGGCGGAGGAGGAGGAGGAGGGCTTTCCAGACAGCTCAAGGAAGTGCCGAAGTCCCAGACGGGCGGCGCCGAGGACGAGCCGGCCGCGAAGGCGGCCGCGCTGCCGCAGGGGCTCCCACCAGTCCGAAGGCCGCCGCGCCCCTGGCGCGAGCCGTATTGGCGGCGCGCGGGCGGGCGCGCGGCGGGCGCGCCGCGGAGCCCTGCAGCCGTCGTGCGACCATAGAAGGTGCGCCGGGTGAGGGACGGAGAGCCCTCCTCCTCCTCCTCCTCCTCCTCCGCCTCCTCCTCCTCCGCCTCCTCCTCCTCCTCCTCCGCCTCCGCCTCCGCCTCCTCCTCCTCCTCCTCCTCCTCCTCCGCCTCCTCCTCCTCCTCCGCCTCCTCCTCCTCCTCCTCCTCCCCCTCCTCCTCCTCCTCCTCGGGGCCACAACGAGCCTCGGCCACGACCTCGGGCCCGCGACCTGTCGGGGATCTACTGGCCCGGGTCAGATCTACACCCGGGTCCGTCGGGCGTTTCAGGATCCTGCGAGATCCTGCAGGATCCTGCAGGATCCTGCACCCTGACCCGGGTCAGGGCACCCCTGGCTCTGCAGGATCCTGCAAGATCCGGAGCTCTGGCTGACCCCTGTTTGCATTGACCCCCGTCTCTTGAGCCCCGAACCTGGGTCTGAGGAGCGGCAGGGAACACCAGAGCCCAAGGTGGTCCAGCAATGCGGCGTCTTGGCTGCAGCATGCCTGCGAGGCGTACGCGGGGGCCCCAAGCAGCGAGACAGGGGAGGTAGGGAGGGCGAGGGAAGCGATTGGGAAGGGGGGCTCTGCTGAAGACGGGGGGAGAGGGAGGAGCTCGAAGAATACACCAAGTCGTGTGGTCGGCCAAGAAGCTCGGTTCGGGGGGGTGCTAAATGCGCTCTTGGCCCCGGGTACCCCCAGCTTTTCGCTCAATTTTGGAGGCCAGGGGATTGTGGAGAATGCGGCCTGTTACACGAGACTTGCAGGCTTCTGCGCCTCATGGTCTTCTCATCGTCTTCGCCCTCATCATTCTCCTCATCCTCCTCTTCAGCATCGTTACGCAGATGAAAGTTTGATGGGCGATACCTTCGCGACCTGCGGATATGTTGGAGAAATGCCAAACGACACAAAACATGCCCCACCGAGCAGGGCCCTCGAAAGTCCAGCCCATTGCCAGCAGGCGTGGGCTTGGATGTTCGAAGGCCATGGTCGGGGGGGCCATCAGTTGGGGCTCTTCCCGGTTCCTGAGGGTATCGTGGCGGTGAGGGTGCTCATGTTTGCACAGCCAGCGGAAGATCAGCCCTGCCAAGCTCTGCAAAACCCTGCTGAGCCCTAGCAAACAAAGGTAAGCCCCTATGCCTGGAAAGGCCTTGGCATGCCCCGCTCAGGCCTGGCAAGCACCCCCAGCGGTCGTCCTAGCAGATCATGATTCGACAGAGCTCGGTCCAAGCACTGTCTGCTAGGATGACCGCGGGGGGTGTTGCTAAGGGGATAAGGGTGAAGTGGGCTGCCAGCGCCCCAAATGGCTCAGGGGGGTAACGATCTTGGCCAAGTGGGCTGCGCCCACTTAGCGGAGTGACCGAACCTACCGAAGCAACTAAGGGCACTTGTAACCCACGTGCAAGTGTGACGCCAGATATCATCCATCTTAGCATCCACTAGTAAACCCCCTGTCTCCCTAGCAGCCTGGCAACCGCCGCGGCGATCCCAGTGGGGGAGAGACGTCGACCCAGTTTGTTTTTGACAAGGCCAGGGCTGGGACAAAATCGGACCAGGGCAGATCGGGGTCACTGATTCCTGGAGGTTCTGGAGGATGTATCGTGCGCTGCGGCAGCCATTGCAGAGCGCTCCGAAAGCGTTCGGGGACGCTCGGGAATTCGATCTATCCTGGTCCTAGCTCCGCCTGCCGGTCGGCCCTCGCCCCCAAAACTCCGACGTCGTGCTTTTGTGCACAACGTGCGCCCCCGGAGGTCTCGACCGATTCCCCAGAACCCGTTTTCATCCTGAGCAATGTTTCGAAGGTCCTGCGGGCTCCGAGGCCCTTTTTCCAGGAAAACATCAAACGTTGAATGCTTGAAACGATCCAGCAATTTGTCGGTGTCACGGAATACCTCGCGGAGTGCCCCCCCGGAGCGACACGAAAAATGGCATGTGATACCATGTAGTCAGGAGGTGCCCAGAGGAATGTGCTCCGAAGCCCCCAGGCACGCAGGGACCCGGGGTCCGAGGGCCCAGTGAGGCCGCAAATCAAAATAAACCTTGTGTCAGGATACGTTCTCACGACGCGACACAAGTCTGGGTCCTCCCTCCTCCTCTTCCTCCGCCGCCTCCTCCTCTTCTTCGTATTACTAGTCTTATTATTCTTATTATTTGTCTTACTATTAGTATTAGGAATATTATTATTTTTCGTCTTATTCGTCTTTTTCTTCTGATGATTATTCATATTATTCGTCTTCTTATTCTTTTTACTATTAGTAGTACTCTTCTTCTTAGTATTATTATTATTATTCTTATTCTCCGTCGTCGTCGTCTTCTTCGCCTTCGTATCATTACTATTACTTGTATTATTACTTGTCTTCCTCCTCCTCCTCCGCCTCCTCCTCCTCCTCCGCCTCCTCCTCCTCCTCCCTCCTCCTCTTCCTCCGCCGCCTCCTCCTCTTCCTCCTCCTCCTCCTCTTCTTCTCTTGTTCCTGACTCTCCTCCTCCTCCTCCTCCTCCACCTCCTCCTCCTGTTGCTGACTCTCCTCCTCCGCCTCCTCCTCCTCCTCCTCCTCCTCCTCCTCTTTCTCCTCCTCCTCTTCTGCCCCCCACCTCCTCCTGTTCCTCCTGCTCCTCCTATTCCTCCTCCTCCTCCTCATCAGCATCATCATCATCATCATCATCAGCATCGTCATCAGCATCATCAGCATCAGTATCAACATCAACATCAACATCAGCATCATCAGCAACATCATGATCATCAACAGCAGCAGCAGCTTCATCATCAGCAGCAGCATCGTCAACAGCAGCAGCATCATCATCCTGCTCCTCCTCCTCTCCTCCTCTTCTTCCTCCCTCTCCCTCCTCCTCCTCTCCTCCTCCTCCTCCTCCTCTTCCTCCTCCCTCTCCTCCTCCTCCTCCTCCTCCTCCCTCCTCCTCCTCCTCCTCCTCCTCCCCCCTGTTCCTCCCTCCTCCTCCTCCTCCTCCTCCTCCTCCTCTCCTCCTCTTCGTCCCGCCGCCCCCTCCTCCTCCTCCTCCTCCTCCTCCTCCTCCTCCGCCGCCTCCTCCTCCTCCTCCTCCTCTCCTCCTCCTCCTCCTCCTCCTCCTCCTCCTCCTCCTCCTCTCCCTCCTCCTCCTCCTCCTCCTCCTCCTCCTCTTCCTCCTCCTCCTCCTCCTCCTCTTGCTCCTCCAACACTTCCTGCTCCTCCTCATCCTTGTTCCTCCTCCTCCTCCTCCTCCTCCTCCTCCTCCTCTGTTTGCCTTAGCCCGAGGCTGAGCTGGGATCGCTATCGGAGACGGAGTTGCAAGAGCTCATCAAGATCGGTGAGAAGCTTGGCGACAAGCTCGGCGTCACCAAGTACCAGCTCGCCCTTCGGAGGCTGCAGAACCAGAATGCTGAGCCAGCTGCCAAGCCCCTCGAGCAGTAGGTCGTCGTCGCCCAACACAAGGTCGTTGCAGTGGAGAAAAAGGCCTGGCAAGGCATTTGACAAGCTACAGCGTTGGAGGAAGTGGGTGGCCGAGCAGGAGAAAGAATGTGCCACTCTCCCAAACGAACTCGACACCCTCCACCGTTCCCACAAGTCGCTCATCACGCAGCTCAGCGGCGCTGCGGGTGTCGACAAGAAGACAGATGTTAATCATGGCATGGACAGTGGTATCTGTATTCGCCTTGCAGACGTTCTCAACGGCAACGCCAACGTGGTGTTCTCGGATGCCGACGATTTGTTCTGCCGCGAAGGAGATGAATATGAATTCAGCAAGGAGGAGCAGGACCAACTTGAACAACGTAAGTCAGAACAACAAAACAGATTGGCTGGCCTCGCTCAGGACCTGTTCGGCACAGCAGTTGAGAAGTTGCGGCAGATCAAGTCCGACTACCAGGCGCAGGTCACCCGCCTGTCTACCAAGAAGCGCAGGACTACTGAAGAAGGCGGCGCTGCTCCAGGTCAGGACCGCAAACCTCCACCAGCTGAGCCAGCAGATCGTTCAGCTAACGCCGCAAAGTCTTTAGCAGAAGCTGCATCTTCGAGGGCTACCGCGGCTGCACCACGCGAGGCACAGCCGGCTGCTGCCGACGCCCGTGCCCGTGCAAAGGAGGCTTTGCAACAAGTTACCCCCCCGCAGCCGCTTTTGAAGCCTCCGCCTGGGGCGAACATCGAGCGCAGCGGTGCTCACGCTGCGGGGGGGGGCCTCCATTTCTGCTGGCGCTGCAAACTTGAGTGGCAATTGCTGTTTGCCTAGGCTTTGCCGCCTGCCGCCCCCCGAGCCTGGCACCAATCCTTTGGGACATGTTCTTAGGTCTCCCTCTGGTCCTCAGCCTGCCATCGCTCGGACGTCCATTCCCTGTGTTTTTGTCGGTTTCGTGCGTGTTTTTTTCGCCAAATGGTCAAGGATGCTCCTCGATGGTCCTCGCCGAAGGGAAAAACACACACGTCCGAACGATGCCAAGTCAGTCTTTCGAACTGAGTGTGGAGACGGCCACCGTTGCTTCCCGGGGCTCGGCTGAACCATGGCTGTGGAGGACGGCCGCGCACAGTGTCCTTGCTCAAGAACACCGCCTAGCTAGCCACGAGCAATTGGGTCAGGCCTCCCAGTGGGCCATAAACAAAAAAATTAAGAAAAGTAGGTTCATCGCTGCTAATTCTGGCGCGGGCGAAGAACGGTATAACATAAACGTTTTCGCTGTCGGGGGCGCCTGTCCCAGGGCGGCTGGAAAGTTTCTACACTTACGGTGGCACCGTAGGGGTATAAACTGGCAATCGAGGCAGATTGCCCAAGACGACGCGGCGGAACGTTTTGGACGTCGACGAGCGTAGAGACGGCAAACAACCCATCCTCTTCTCCCTCAGGTGGTTGGAAAGCACACTCAGGCTTTTCATTCGGGTGGTCAGCTCCTCCAGCTTCTCGCAGACCAGGGCCACCCGTTCGGCCCTGTGCGCTCCTCCACCGTGCATCGAGGACAATTCGGGTGAGTTCGAGAATGTTGCCCAGAAGATCAGAGATTTCCTGGGGGGCTCGGAGGCGACGGTCATCGACAGCGGTTTCTGGGATTCCCT